GCTTGTACTATGATGCGTGTAGAACTTGTTACTTAGTATTTCTCTACTTCGCTAGCGTCTATCTCAACGCTTTCCACATTTTCGATATTAACGTCTATTTCAACGTCTCCATCATCTTCAATGTTAACGTCTATTTCAACGTTTTCTACATTTTTGATATTAACGTCTGTTTCAACGTCTCCATCATCTTTAATATTAACGTCTATTTCAACGTTTTCTACATTTTTGATATTAACGTCTGTTTCAACGTCTCCATCATTTTCATTCCTAACGTCTGTTTCAACGTTTTCATCATTTTCATTCACGCATGAATTTTTATTATTCATGTCCAGATCATCAAAAACCTGCCCATTTGGCAACTTTCTTACATACTCATGCGGATACTTATACAACCTATTTGTAGACAGCGACTTCAAGGTATACCTATCTCCATCTAACTGCTCTATAACCACGAATGGTCCTTTAAACTTAGTATCCAACTTAGTTTGATTTCTCTCTTCATTCTTAAGTAAAACAAAGTCGCCTACTTTGTGCTTAACAACCTTTGCCCTGTTTCTATTAAATCTTGACTCGTCGTAATAAGCTGCACTTATCATATTTTTACTAGCCTGAGCTCTGACCTTACGAATATCAACTTCACTCTCCGTATCGGCTGGAGAAACCAGGCCCATCGGCCGCGCCTCCTTACCAATCAACATTTCTAAGGGACTTGCTTTGGTAACACGATTCATTGTACAATTTAAAGCTAGCTGTACCTCACCTAAAGCATCTTGCCATGTTTGCTGGCCCGTTTCAACAGCAGGCAATAAACTTTTCAATGTGTTCATGACACGTTCAACCTGACCGTTTGCGCGGCTCGCTCCTGTTGCAATCAAATGAAAGTCTATTTTCTGCGAAGAGCAAAATTCACGGAAACCCCTGCCGGCAAAGCACCTTCCTTGATCGGCAATTACACGATTAGGTACCCCAAACAGAGCTATTGACGATTTTAAAGCATTTATAATGCTTTCTGAATCGATTTTAAGAGTATGATGTAAGAAAACATATTTAGTGAAAGTATCTATTTGAACAATAACGTATTCTTTGAGATCACTCTTACCACTTAATTTTTTGGTTATATAAATGTGAACAGTATGCCAAGGTATATTGACCTTGGGAATAGGATGTAATCTAATTTGAACTTTAGCCGTAAGAGGTTTCACCAATTTACACGTTATACAATTTTCTACAAACTTTCTGACATACTTTGACATGTCGTCAAACCAGTAATGTTCATAAACCTTATCAAGTGTTTTCTCCCATCCTGAATGCATAATAGACTCATGTACCTGATTAATCACTGACCATCTGAAGGAGCGCGGTACAATTGGTAAGCATCGTGTTTTACCATTCCTTTGTATTTTACGATAAAGTACACCTGCCCTCAATTCATATGATTTTGCCAGATTCTCACCAATATCACCTGTATTTAATCTAGAAAAAATATTACAAAGATCTGGATCCTGTTCCTGTTTAGCAAGAAGCCAGTTATTCGAAATTTCAGCTAAATTAATTCGTTTTTCGGGGATTTTATTAGTAACCAAATTTGGTTCCGAAGGGAGAGGATTTCTTGATAGAAAGTCTACATGAGCCATACGCTTCCCTTCTCTATACTGAATGTTGAAATTAAGTGATTGTAAATATGACCACCAACGGTGTACCCTAGGTGTTAGATTAATCTTAGTAAAAGAAGTAAAAGGAATTGCAATCTGTAACCACTAAGAACTCTCGACCTTGGAGATAATGTCGAAAATGCTTTACAGAGTTTACCACTGCCAATGTCTCTAACTCATATGAGTGATATCTTGACTCCGCTGGCGAAGTTCTCCTACTTAAATATTCCACCACATGGGGTTTACTCATTAGACTGGCATATGGAGAACAACCAAGTCTAATAATATTACTTTCTATTAAATCTTTTATTTTGCCACTAAATACATCTCTTTCAACTGGGCTGAGTATATATGGACGCCTTTGAACAGTTTTTTCGACTAGACAAATTTTAATTTCGCCAGTGAAAACGCGTGTTCGTGGAATTCGTTCGATAAATACCTGAGAATAATTTTGTAACAAAGTAATTAATTCATCTTTGTCATCACCAACCAGTTCAGTATCAACATCACAAATTTTCACACAATGTTCAGAAATAGAACATACATTAACCGTCTTAGTTTTAACGATTTCAAATTTGTCTGAGTCAACAACAACATTAAAATCCTGACTCAGCCTCTACAATTCTATGAACTATCTTCCATATTTACTTATTATCATGAATTTTTGTGTCACAAATTTATGTTATGATTTATACTTATCTTGCTGAACCACCCCTCTATATTACTGTCCAGTTTAATTACACTCATCTTCCCACAGCTCCCAGCATTCTATTCCACCCGCTATAGGACTAAAATAACGCCAACTATTCCTCTTGCGTCTTCCCGTTCACATTATTACATCATAAACTTCACTTCCTTACATTGTTGTTATGTGTTGTTATTATCCATCCTCGTTGCTATTCTTATGCATGTATAATTTGCATTTTATTCCATATGTTTTTATTTCTATTTGAGGCACTGCCGTCTAAGGCTTTACTCAACGCCATAACTAGAACACTTCCTTCTAAAGGGTTTTCACTTAATATAATATCAGCGGTTGTGTACCATGCTGACGCATCCGCGCTACGGCAATCTGGATTGAATTTCGGCAAAGTAACATTTGTGCTATTCTGAGAATTCGCACCCGATGACTGCATAACTTTTATTAACTCACTAAAATTTTCGTTTTGTTTTATTTTTATTTTGAAGTTGGTAATTGTGAGTTAGAATCCCACTTCTGATGTCGGCGGTGGCTTGTCGTATGCCATTGCCGTGGTGTCAGTAAATTCGCGTACACAACTTATCCTTTCAACCTTTCCGTGTTCTCTCTACATTAACTAACTGAACACGACTGCGCTGTTGTCTCCACGTTTTTACATACCTTGACAGAACTGTGCTGCCAAGTCATGAACTATTCTCCAAGACAATAATGCTAATTATCAATTCTTAACCAGCGCCCTCTAGCAGTGCATAGCGACTATACTCAAACTACAAGAGTAGTTTACACCAAAGCGTCGACATATATATTTATATATTTTTTATATAATTTTATATATATGTTTTTCTTCTGAGCCTTGAAGATACAAATAAAAATGAAAATTTTTATATTTCGTTACTAAAATATAAAAGTTTCACGGTGAAAATATTTTTATATTTATATTTTTCTGTTTCCTAAATAACGTTTAAAAATATAATTTTAAAATTTCAGCTGTTTTTACTGTTAAAATATTTAACTCATGTGGAGTTAGATAACAGGAACATCTCGGAAAACTGCAAGACAGACGATATTGTTTTGGAGCCGTCTGCTTTCCTAGATTTTTATATCAAACTTGCAAAATCAAGCTGAAATCAAATAAAAATGTTTGAGCAGATGAACAAACCTGAGCAGATTAACTCTCTGGTCAGATTTCAAGATTAACTTGGTTTAAACTGGACAGAAAACATACCAGTCAGATAATTCAACTTAAGTGGATTCTGCTCAGCACTACATTAAAGGTGGTTAGAGATCACATGCTATGAAACTGGGTCTATGCTATAATTACTTTTGTTGTGTTTGTGGGTCTGCGAATTAGGAGGAAATTCTCACTTATAGTAGATTCAAAAGCTTTGACACTTCATTTGCAATCATTTTTAATTATATTTTTCATTGGCCAACTTTAAGCGTTTGTGAAAATGAAAACAAACCTGTATCGAGGAGAAGAGCTCGATGAGCTGAAACCCCCTCCGAATTGAATCAATTGAATACATGCAGAGAAATAAATCAATGTTAAAATAACGTCTGCAGAGAAAATTGAGAATAGATTATAGTTTGAGGGTTTGAAACTGCTGATGTGAAGTAATAGAATTTATTTTTCCATTAAAATGGTTGTGGTTGACTTCCTATTCAAAAATAATTTACAGTCAGAAACGGAAAAAACTAATATCTTCATAAGAATTTAAGAAGGTAGATAAAAATTATTCACTTGTAAGTAAATTTGTGTCATATTTTATGCATGCCGTGTTCGCAAATCAGTTTGACAACACTTAAAACTCAAAAAAGTTATGAATTATGTCTTATAATAAAAATAACCACAAACTACATCATCTGATAACTTCAAAGAAGAATTTAGCATTGAATTTCTAAAAACCGCAAATGGAATAAATTTTTCCCATTTACTACAACTAACCAAACATCACTCAGTAGTCAAAAGAATATATATTTTTGGATGAATTGAGAACAAAACATGTGAAGGTACATTTATGGACTACTTTATTACTTTGAATCGATACGCTTCAAAAAGCAATTGACAATGTACAGTGTGACCGAATTGAAGTGAAACCAATTAAATCGTCTAGGCATAGACAAACATACTTGAGCAGATGAACCCTCTTGTCAGATCTTAAGATCGACTTTGTAAAAACTGGACAAGAAACATACAAGTCAGCTGCTTCATTTTAAATGGAATCTGCGTAGTATTACGCTATCGGTGCTAACGGGTCAATGCGTAATAGGTATATATGAGTTTGGGTCTACCCTATAATGACTTTTGATGGGGTTGTGGTTGTGCGGACGAGGAGGAAATTGTACTCCACTTTATGTGTCGGTGTCTATCTGTATACTCTCTGTGTGTACCACACTCATGTGTAATAAGTATTGAACATTATTTCATATATCAGGTGCCAGAACTTTGAGTAAAAAATTGATGGTTATTTCGTTGTGGTATATTGCAACAATTTATAGCAACCAATAACGATCCATTGCAAATTTCTTTAATGATCTATTATATCATCTATACTTTATTATTATTATTTATACTCATCTATAATTATTGTTATTATTATAAATATAATATGTTATTAAATTGATTTTCTTTTTTCATTATAGGCGGCCACAGTGAGAATAATGCTTAAGCTGCTGGTGATATTAACAACCTCAACATGCTTATTTTCGACTGTTAATTCTGGTGTGCCAATTGGTAAGATCTTTTTATTAATACGTATTCATTATAAAAGTGATAAAAGTATTATAAATAAATGTGTTATAACTAAATGTCATAAACATAGGAACTGGTGGTCCGTCAATAATATACGAAGGTAAAGATGCATTACTTACATGCGTGGTATCAGAAAATCGCTCGAACAATACAGTTATATGGAAGAAATCGGGAGAAATTCTGACAGCTGGTATGGTGCGCGTCTCCAGCGATTCTAGAATAAGTGTACTACACGATGAGAGTAAGTCGTTTTTATGCCAATTATATTAAATTTTTCACATAAATTAAAATTGACACTAGATCCGCGTGGTCGAATTGGTGGTTCAGGTGGGGAAGTTTGGGTATTACTAATAAAAAGACTTAAATCTACAGATTCTGGTAGTTATATATGCGAATTAAATTCTGAACCTGCGTTACGCAGTATACACATATTAACTGGTAAGATTTTCTACTTATATATACTTTATACATATATACTTTTACATTATGAACTATTCATTGGATTAGTTAAACAATTGCCGTCAAGTAGTACGAATAGCACAGTGATAGAAACAACAGATTCTAGTGATTTGTTCTTAGTACCACCACCACTTGACGCCACAGATAATCGTTCCTTCTGGCGTCCCAGCATACCACCACAAATTACACACGATTTCACAGAATGCTGTGAAAGAGGTAATGTTACATCGGAGTGCATGGGCTTCTGTAATGTGCACAATATACTCGATGGCACAACAGGCGTTGAACCAGAAGCATGCGAAAAAGATTTTCCCAGTATTGTGCGTTGCATGGCTGATGGACGCAACCATGTGCCATGTTGTGTGGAAAAACAAATACCAGATTTGTGTCAAGATATGTGTCGTGGTGAGTACACGCCATTCACTGACCACCTCAAGACACGCGTGTCGTGTGTGCATCACACATTAAGTGGCTTACAATGCATATTGCAAGGCGTACAAATGATACCAAGCATGCCGGTAGCAGTTTCAGCCACCAATATTACAGAAAATTCAGTAACCATTTATTGGTCTCCACCAGAGAAATTGTCACACAAAGTCGATCATTACATTGTTAATTTAACCGCTTTGCATAGCTTTGATGAAGACGATGCTAATGATGAAGATGATGTGTTACGTTCACCCGAAAAAGTAATTATTCGTTCAGTGCCTAACAGTCAAAATACAGTAACGATAAATTATTTGAATCCACTGACGATGTATGCTATCACCGTAACTGCAGTCAATGATTTTGGTTCGAGTCTGCCAAGTGAACGTTTACGTATTTTCACTCACAACAGCGACTCAGCAGCTGAACAGCAAGCCGGTCAGACCAATAAAACGAATGCACCAGATTTGCCAGACATACGTGGTTGCTGTGAAGCGAATGGCATGACACATCGCATGTGCTTGGAAAAGATGTGTGATCCACAAAAAGCTGACTTGGCACGTTTGCCGGACTTTATGGTTTGCGCGCCTTGGACGAATATCACGTTCAATTGCTTGGCAAATAATATCGATCATACGCCATGCTGTCGTTCACGAGGCATCCCAACCGCTTGCTTTCCTTTGTGCACCGGTCAGGTTACAGCGTTGAACTTTAGTTTATTTAAGTAAGAAAATGAAATTGCATAAAATTTAAGTAACAAATAAAAAGATATTATACGTTTTTAATTTCTTTTAGGTGTTTGCGTTTTATGCCTGAGTTCAGCAGTTGCCTCTTTCAGGGATATGGGGTGCTAGCGGGGCCACCATCGAAAATCGTAACAGTGGCAAAAACAGATAATTTCGTTATACTGGATTGGAATAAACCAAAAACTTTACCCGAGACCATAAGCAGTTATCACGTTAAATTTCGGCGTTTG